ACAGACAGACACACAGATACACAGACGGACACACAGACAGACAGACAGACAGACAGACAGGTGCAGTAACAGGAAGTGGACTCTGAACACATGCAGCAGAACTTTGGCAACACGTCAGGCTGAAGGTCGAAGTGGAAAATACGGCAGACATCTTGGTGATGATGTCACAGTGTGGACTGGGGTTGGGGGGGGGTTGGGACCGGGCCGGGTCACATGACGTGTTTCTGGATCCCCGGGATGAACTCCTTGGCGTTGGGGTTCAGACTGCTGTTCACCTGAGCGACACAATACAAAACGCTGACTGTCGCACGTTTCTCTTTAATAAATAAATCACAAATCACTCAGATCGATCAGTGCTGGTTGCTAGGGAACGACAGCCTCTGATTGGCAGTGAACTCACCACGAGGTCGAAGTCGGCGTCGGCGTCCAGAACCAGCACACTGATCTGGTCCTGCAGCTGAGCGCCGGTCTGAGGGGGGAGGTCTCTGGACGGGATGAACCACTCCCACTGCTCCTCCTCCTCCAGCAGCTCCTGAACGCACCGCTCAATAAACTCCTCCTCCCACAGCTCCTCCTCCACCTACACACACACACACACACACACACACACACAGTAATATAAGTCGGTGCTCTGTGACAATATTATATCCATATTCTGTATATATGCCCATATATCCTTTTGTAAATACAGCAGAGGAGCTCACCAACACCAGCAGTGCCTGTCTGCTCACCTGTTGATGCCAGCTGCATTCACAAGATAAGAGATGTTTCCACAGGTCTTCTGGATCGTCTCAAAGGTTTTCTGCACCTCCTGCTCTTTAGAGACATCGCAGCTGAGAGCCACGTGGTTGGCTAGAGAGCAGATATAGAAGGTCTGTGAGTATGTTAATGCTTACAATGTAGTCTGTTCATAGCAGCTGCAGGTACTGTGGGTATACATTTATTTTATTTTATAGCACAAAAGCCCGGGATCAGTTTCTGTGTTTGAAACTAGGGGCATGCTGTCAGCATCAGATTAGTTTCTGTAGTAACTGCATTAAAAATGTTACCATTTGTTTAATTTAGTCTGGCTTCTGAAAGAAAATCATTGGTGGCGGGAACAACGCACACAAATGATTCTTTAATAGCTCAAATTTCACGGCGCTTGCAGAGAAACAAGAAAAACGCAAACTGTTGGCAGTGCTTGTACAGTTCATGACTAAAAGAATGACTGAGGGACTGACGCAGACGCATTTAATATACCTCCGTGTAAAGATGCCACAGTGGCTCGGGCAGCATCTTCATTCCTGGAGACAACGGCCAGCCGGCAGCCCCTCTCTGCCAGAAGGCGGGACACGGCCTTCCCAATGCCCCTGGAGCCTCCACACACCACTGCCAGCCTGGACATGACACTGCAGGAGACACAGACACCGCACACACACGTACGCACAACCAGAACAGAGTTGATGATAAAGTACTGCACTGACAAATTATAAAGTACACCCAGTGGCCATGTTATTAGGCACACCTGTACAATTCTGCTATAAATTCTACTTTAGTAAAGCCTATAACGTTCAGGTTTTGACACCGTTATAGAGGTGTTAATTCAAGCATATGTTTAGTATTGAGGTCATTGTTATTGGTGGTGTTTTACCGGACAGCATTAAATTCAGAGGTGTTTCTATTATTCTGCCCCCCTTATGTACATACAAGTTTACTTCAAGTACCAAAAGTTACTCATAATAATAATAATAACAATGTGTATTATGTTACTGGTTTATAAATGATTGGAGCATTATTGTGTACATGACTTTGACGTTGCAGCTGGAAAGGTGGGATTATTTTAATGACTTTTTATCTTATCACATCTTAACCTATTGTAACACATTCATTTGTGTTATTAATCTAAATCTGCAAAGTAACTAAAGTTATGAATGTAATCATAAGGGCAAGAGAGTAGCACCATTAGCACCAAATGCTGATAAATATGCAAGGTGCTGGTAGATTTGCTTCACTCACCAGCCTAAACAACAATGGGAATCTATTGAGTGGCTGCTCAGTGTCCATGTGGAGTATACAAAAGCGGGAAATGGTAATACTCAAGTAAAGTACAAGTACCTAAAAGTTGTCCTCAAGTGCAGTACTGGATGCACTTTCTTTCCACCACTGCTGACAATAAAACATGTAAGAACTCAAATGAGATGGACAAATACATTGAATGCGCCCTACAGTTAGCACAGAGCACATGAATGGCTATAGGAGTAATGTTTGTAAGGTTTATTATTAAAGGAGTCGACAGATAAACTGAAAGCTAACGTTACATTAAAGGTCATTTTGCTCTCTGGTAATGTTACAGTTAGATAACTACGACTGTATTATAAACTTTATAGAGCTAGCTGTAACTTACCTTATGTATTGTAATTTTCCGTCGGACAGGACTTGTTCCTCTTTAAATAAGTTTACTGGTTAGAAAAAACACTGAATATAAGCAGTACGGAGGCTGATGGACGTCGCCATGTTTCTTCTCGGTGTTGTTGCGCCGCTGGTGTTTGGTCGCTAGATGGCGCAGTGGACGCACAGCGGCTCACTGTGCAGGACGAGTCGGCGCTTTTCATAGTCGAGCCTCTTGGCAGCCAAAGTACATGTTAATATTTCTCCACATTAACAACACAACGACCTCACACTGTCTCCAGCCACCAGTTCACTTGTCATTTAAAGACACCAGTAAAAAAGGCCAGTAACGGGTTACTGTGTTTGATAACTGGGAAAAGGAAGCAAGGACTAGCAAATTAACTGCAAAGGTCATCACTACAGAAACAATGTGCATTTACATTAGATTCAGATTCAGAATTCAGAATTACTGCTGCTGCAAGTCTTTAGTGACCTCATAGTACATGTTAGTAATTAATATTCCTCTCATGTCTTCTCAATATGAAGGCTACCGTTTGATATTTGCCCAAGAATACTCTTATTTCACAGGAATAATTCCACTTCTCTCCGAGTTAACTTTTAGGAGATTAGTTATTTATAGTGACAGACCCAGAGCCCTGCACACTGAAATAGCTCACCGATTCTTAATTGCAGTCATTCATTTTCCTTTTTTGCTTCATGTATCATTGTTCCCCGTGGGAACATATTTCACCAGGAAAGCAAAACCTTCACTACTGGTGTTAAAAAAAGAAAAAAGGTGAGTGATGTGGAGAGTGGGTGGCCTTGGCCTACACCTGGATGGCCCATCAGACCAAGACATTGTGCACGATTGATTTGCTGAGGAGGTTAAATCACATTCACAACCTGTGCCGGAGTGACACCGAGCCGTACAGCATGAATCATATCCACACTGCGGCAAACAAATGCAACCACCACACACTGTATAATTAGCTTAAAATGTTATTACTCCTTAGAACAATGTTCTTCACTAAACTGTGTTTGTCTGTGTGTCAGAGAGAGAAATAGACCTTGATTTGTATTCCGATCACCTTCCTGAACGCCAAGATTTTATTCCCCTCTTTCACACCTTAGTGATCTAATGATACCTGCCTACAGAGCCGTATATTGCTCTCACTCACATAAGATATGTCTCTGTAATCCTTTACACGCATGTACACACAATATTAATTCTTAGCATTTCTTGTCTACTGGCTTTCACGCATATTCACTGAGCCCCAGTTCAGACCTGCATGACAAAGAAAGGTTTCACTGATATTTTGGGTATGTTTGGAATTAAGGTAAATTTATTTTACTCATTACTATAATCGAACCATCTAAAATCTCAATGTTTACATTTTGTTCGAGTAAGGAAGTGAGGACATTTTCTTGAATAATGGTCATTGTGATTTTTCTTTGAATACTAATGCATACTGAAGCCATAGTTTGTTATCTAGTGCAGTAAAGGGTTCAAGAGGGACTTGACCAACACTTGTTTCACTGAGCGACTCGAACTGGCCGACACACCCCGAGCTTGAATATTATCAAGAAATTCTTGACCTTGAGACTTTCTGAATGCTTGACAACCCTTCCAGCTATGAGTATTGACTTTTAACTACACTCTGTACACATAGCGTGTCCTACATTTACTCACATTAGTCATTCAAATATCCACCTGCCACAGTCACATTAAATCAACCCACATCTCACAGTTCTGTCGTACAGCGAAAACCTTTCATTAAATTCAGCACTCGTAAGTCATCTACCAGAGCAAAACATGCCAAGTGGCCGAGGACTATGAAACTAATGTGATTAGGTCAGACAGAATGGTTTAAATATACATACTGTTTGCTCAGTATGGTCTGCTCATACATTGGAATAACTTATTTCCATGGTAACCCATCCTCTGCAGGGAACTGTGTGCAGCACAATGACCTCTCTGGGTGCTTGTCAGTTCCTGTCAGTGTTTCCCAGCTGAACACACTGGGTAGACTCACCTCTCCTTACAACACTCTGCCCTTCTGCAAGAACCATTTATTCCTGGAGACATTAATGACCATGCGTTCCATGACTTACCCCAGATACATTTAATTAGTAACTGTCTTCTTTACTGTTCATTTATTTAATGCGTGTATACATTCAGTCAGAACTGTGCATCTTCCAGTCCATCCAAGCTTTGTGGGGGGTGGGGGTGGGGGGAATTGGGCAAAGGGAGGACACAAGCACTCAGTTCTGTCAACAGCAGTCTATGTCTTTGATAATACTGCTGGTTAGACAGTTCTTCCCTGGCAGCAAGTGGCCAACGTAACACAAAGTCACTGGAGAAAACAGAGGGAAATAGAGCACTGCATTACTGTCATGAAGCAATGACTTAGCCTGAGGAAGTTATGGAAACCATTAGCTTTTATTGTTATAGAGATTTTTACAAAATGTGCTATTCCCTCAAATACTTCAGAATGTTTTTTCACATAATAGACTTGTGCCAAATAAGTTGATTTCAGTTTCACCATTTTCAGACAAACAGACTAACTACAGACAAAAAAAAAAAAAATAAATCAAGTAAGTCACCTTGGCATGAGGAAAATCTGTTAGGTTGAGTCAAGCAAACATATGTTTGCCATGTGTTGCAATAAATGAAAATATAGTTTAATGCTTCATATTTTGAGAACTGTGCAGCCTATGCATGTACAATACGTACCAGGAGTCAGTACGATTTAGAATCTTATGATAGTGCATAAACGTGTTACATCTTTGTTGGAGTAAGTTGGATGTGTATATTAAAAGGCTTACCAGTGAAATGAAAAGACACTCAGAGGAAGAGTTTACCATAGAGCCTGAGGTTGGTGTGGTGATTGCCAAGACAACAAATGCAACATTTCAGATTAATTCTACATAAGTACCAATTCAGAAAGACAAAAAAAAGGCCCTAACAGTGATTTGTACCATCTTTTTCCACACTCTCTTCCAATTTAAACAAACTACAATATATTCCAGCAGTCAGTTACACAGTGGTCCCCCTCAATTAACAACAAAACACACACACACACAAAAACTGGAAACTATGGGTCCAATTCAGTCAGTAAATTCATTCTCAAAGCCAAATTTGGCACGATTCAGTGATTGCCTTGACTTTAAAGTGTTTAAATAACCCCTCAGGCCTCAGTGATTACGTCACATTACATTAAATGCTGTGGGCTCCACTGAAGCGGGAGGAGTCAGTCTATAATGCTAACCAATAGTACCTTTACTCTGGAGAATTTCATTCATCTATCCAATGTATTTATGACACATCAACTTATTTGATCTGATGTAATAAACTGGGTGTCATTCTCCAAAGTGTTAATTCTAAAACTGCCTATTCTTTGTTGTATGTTTAAGCACCAAAACTACATCCAAATCCCCTCGAATCACAAAGAAATCTTACAGTCTATATCAAGTCAATACAACACTTAACATCAAAACCTTTGTATCAACGTTAAGTACAACAACCCATCCATAAAAAAAAGAAAAAATCAAGGGGGTCAAAGTGATTGATTTAAATAAAACCTTATCTTTTGAGGTTCAACAGAATTACACTACACATCTCTTCCTGTGGAGTGATACAATGATATGTTACTTTAGGCAAACATTCTGTGCTTTAGCTAGCTGTGTTTTTATTGCCACAAGTCACATTAGGAATGAGTTATAGTGTACAAAAACTGAGAGCCTGCTGAAGGGTGAGTGTGGTCCTGTGTGCCTTACTGCGTGTCCAAGTTAGTTATACGACAGATTGTTTAAGAGCAGCAGGTGTCAGCCTCTGTGGAATTTATAACAAACAACATAAATATACACTGAAAAAGAATCTGTTGTGCACTGTTACTGAAATGTTATGTCGCTCTTGTCTTGTAGAGCTACGTCTGGGTTTGGCTATTTGCCGAGGAGTTAAGAGAGAAGCTACTCTGGTCAGTAAATACAAAGAAGGTACAAAGTAAGCAATATTTGACTGCAGAGTCTATCTTGGAGTGTGTTTCCCGCATATTAAAAAGGCATAACCAAACAGTCCGGCAACACATCTATCACCACTTTGTCTACTGCAGAAGGCTTTGCTAATCGCATGCAAATGTTCGATGGCTGAAGGTAACAGTCCTTGACACTTCAGCCTCAGCCACACCGGAAGAAAAAGGCCTGTGGATGGCCCAGAGAGATACTTTGTGATGTGCAATGTTCACATGGCTGTGAACTGTAGCTAGAGTGCTCAAACGTGCAATACGGCAGATCTCTCTGCTGATCCTCAGGTTTTTGGTAATGCCTTTAGATCTGCAGAAGTATCTTTTTTTTCCTACTATACAGCACAACTGATGATGATACTGCTCATTTGTTCTGGTCTGCTGCATCTGATTTACCTACTCCTATCTGCTGACAGTTTGAAATAATAGTAGAACTTCAGCAGTCAGAGGGAGAAATGTAGAACTGATGTGGTAATATATGGCATAAGGCATGTGCCAGCTTAACCCCTTAATGTGTTGCACTACAGAAATGCCATTCTATGAAATAAGTTAAAATGTGTAATATATCTATATCAACAGCTCATATTGGTTGTTTTAGGACTAATCATCTTTGTGTCCTTATGTACAATAAAGTGAGGAACAGTACAAGGCACACATTTAACAGCTGAATTGTTACAAAGATATAAATAACCAACAAAAAGGAAAAGTTCATGAGTAGTGTGCTCTCCTCTAACTCTGTCCACTGTGCTTTCAATGTCAACATAATCTGTTCTTCTCTGCAGCTCTCTCTTGTGTGCCACTAGCGTTCTTTTTCAGTGACCAGAGCCGCAGTGGGCTCTAAGGAGCTCAAGTGTTCATGTGATGGTCCCGTCCCAGCAGCCTTGCGAGTGCTGATCCGTTTGCACGGTAACACACTGCAGTGGGGCTAGCAGCAGTCAGCTGGGTCGCGTTTGCGGTGACCGTGGTTCGCTGTAGTGTGTGAATTAGATGCTGTCTACAAAGCTGCCAGGGAACAGTCCGGTCCTTCCGTTCCTCTGCAGTGTGCCTTTGAACCAGCCGTCTTCCCTCTTTCTGTGAACAAACACAATGTCGCCCTCCTTAAGTTCCAGCTCAGCCTCG